CAAACAGAATGAAACTTTTCCGGTCAGTGGAGTTATGGGCTTCGCTAATCGCTCAGCCAAAACTGTATTTAAAAACTGCTAACACGAAAAACGCAACAAACAATACTAACGTAAGCGCACGACCGTTTGGTTTGCAGTGTGAGCTCGCCTATTATTGGCATGGCTTTCAGTCGAGCTTGCAGCGGGGGATGAAATTTTCATCATTTGCGCTGTAAACAGTCGACCTGCACGCTCTTCCTCGCGTGTATGGTCGACTGTTGTTGGGTTTACAGTGAGCCATAGGCATCCGCGCACCGGGCCACGATCACCTCCACCGCTGTGCTGTGTGTATTATTCAGCTGTCAGTGGCGAGTGGAAGGAGTGGCTGGGACGGGGCGGCCGAGCCGAGCAGGCGGAGCGCGCTGGACGCGCCCCGCCAGTCCTCGCAGCGACAATCAAAGCATAACGACCATTATTGGAGAGGCTCCTCTCGCTCCTCTCGAGGCAGGTGAGGGTGGGGGGAGAGGAGAGCGGGAAAGGGGGGTGGGTGAGAGACAATGGCCCTGCCCGACCTGCCCCGCCCCAGCTCTCTGCATTGCGGGGGAGGGGCCGGCGGGGCCGGTGGCGCGCAGCGCGGTGACAACAAACAATCAAGCATTGTGTCGGCTCAGCCCCAGCCCTCGATATTTTGTCACCCCGAGGGAGGCGTCGGTGAAAATAGAACTACACATTGATTTTGGTCAAAGTGGTCCAACATTATTGACGTAACGTCAGCTAGAGTTGAACGAACAATGGACTCGGGCGTAGTGGTCGGCAGTTGCAAAGAAGGACGAGGGGGGGCGGGGTTGAAAAAACTAAAGAGTTGATAGGCATTGACAGGCAGTAAGTTGTTTGTTCATTAAGCTGTCTCGTAAGGATTTCAAAAAAGTTTTAATGGAAGGGAAGCCGCCCTTGTTATGAGCTTGTGTATTGTAAGTGTCAGCAACGTCATCTCAATTTGTATCTGTTAGTGGGCCGTTTTAGGTAAAAAGCGGTAAAAAGAAAATGAAACCACCAGTTTTAACGAAAAACACTTAGGTTTTATAAACTTAATTCTACTCAACAATCACTCTACACCGTCTCCTAGCTGCATCTCAGTACTTTTAGAACACATCTGTAGCAAATAAGCTTATTGTTTCTTTGTTGTTTTTTTACATACAGGAATGGAACGGAAGTCCTTAAAACACGCTAGCCATTTCCCAGACCTTTTCTTTCTTTAGAAACGTTTGCGGCTTTTCTTGAGCAGCTTTCAAGCATAGTGCTGCCGATATTATCGAAACGACACATTTCTTCGGTGCGCGATTAGCGCGATTAAGATTTTGCAATATGCTAGGGCAAAGTTTAGTAACAAATTATTGTATGTGACAGCAAGCTCAAACGATTTGGTTATTATGAAGACTTTCGCTACTCTAGTCACAAGTTTTCAAAATTTTGGGGGGATGGCTGGCTGGTCTGCTCTTGAGGGATGAATCACTCCGTAACATTTACTGCAACTCTGTTGATCTATTTGATGTCTACAGATGATACAAAATAATCTAATCAGCAAAGCTTATTTCATTTAAAGTTCGCGTTCCTCTGTTAGCCAGCAGAATGATTCACCCCATCTGCCAGATTTATTTTATTTTTCTGTATTGAAATTTCTAGCATTTTATGAAAGCAAAATCGGATTTCGAAGATATGTAACTTTTTGTTCTTCTTCTTTTTTCAAAACAAAAACTTTTCCCTACCGATATCTAGATGCCAAACACTACCTCATATGAAAAATAGATAAGAGACAGGTAAAGTTCCTTTTAGGAAGACAGTCGATGAAAACAAAGTCGCCTCGAATTTTCTGTTAGAGAGTACTGTTTAACAACACGTGCTTATCTACCGCTAGCTACCCATCAATAATACTTTACGAAGGTTTTGGCAAACACGTGTAGTTTCCAAATTAATTTCAGCAAACAGGTCTCAGCGAATTGACTCAAAGTTGCACCATTGCATCTTGAATTGACATTTATCTTTGGTGTTCGTCAAATGGAATTAAATCAGTCAGCGCAAAAAATAATTAACATGGGAATCCACCGCTAAATTTCCAGCATTTGATCTGTAGATCCAATCGCTTCATCGCGAGGTATCAGCGAAGTTCCGTCCCTGCAATCGATTTTCTTCACCCCATGTAGCTGAAAAATGTCACGAAATATTTTGTCAGTGACCCGCTTTCGCGTCTTTTTCACCGCGTAAAGGCTAATGAATCATGAATGAACGCAACTCACCCTGATAGTAGTGATCTTTGTACATCGTTGGGCAATTTTTATCCTAGAACAGACATAAATTTCTCACTCGTCTCTATACTGTTTGTTTTATTTTTCAGGCGGGTTGTTAGGGGCTCACCTTCTCCCTGAAGAAGTCGATGTTGGTCCGTACGGTGCGGTGGTTGAGCGACTGCAGTGGCCTAGCGTTGTTGCCCAGCGGGGCCTTGGGTGTCTCGGGGGAGCCTTGCATCAGCTTGCGCAGCGCGTACAGCTGAACAGACACAACTCACTTAAGCCTCTTGCTTTCGGACCCGCAAAGAATTTGTCGTGTCGTGAGGCGACTCACCTCCTGCTTGGTGATGTAGATGGGCTTGTTGAGCAGGATCCAGACGGTGGTCTCCCAGCAGCCCGGGTGGGTGGTGCTGCCCTCGTACGTCATGTAGTGGTCCGTGTCGGGCAGGAGCGCGCGCACCGACAGGTGGCGGATGGGCGCGGACTGGCCGCGGAAGCCGACCTGGCCGAACGAGCTGGTGATGACCCTGAGCTCCGGGTTGGGCCGGTCACCAATCTGCAACGAGTTGAGCCCTGGTGAGCCAGATGGACTCGCTGTGCGCTGTGCGCTGTGCGTGTGCGCGCCAGGCGGCTGAGCCGCGGGCCGGGGGGTGAGCCAAGGGGCCGAGAGAGAGCGAGAGGAAAACAAACGAGGGACCTCAAGGAAAAATGAGCAAAACGACGGTAACTCGTGAAAAGTGTTATAATTAGCTGGAGAGAAATTAACAGACCTCATTTGCGCACAAAGAGAGTAAACAAATTTCAAGACATCACTGCTACTGCTGCTGCAAGAGGGGGACGCGGAGGGGTGAGGAGCAGGGGGAGGAAAATGGCCGGGCGTGGCGGAGAAAAATGCTGGTGGGCAAATAAATAATAACCCCCCAGTAAAACGTTTTTCATTCTCAAAACAAAGAAAATGAGATGCAAAGCGGTCCGGGAATAAATCACAGACCAGACCTCTGACTGCAAAGGTAATTAGTGCGAAATCAAACGGAAATGTTTTCCACACCATCTACCCTCCCTCCCCGGTCCCGGGCTCTGCCGAGCGCTCCCCTCTCCTGCTCTCTCTCTCTCTCTCTCTCTCTCTCTCTCTCTCTCTCTCTCTCTCTCGCTCCCTCCCTCTCCCTCCTCTTGCTTTCTCTCCTTTCAGCCCCCCTCCCCCTCGCTCTCTCTGCTCTCTCCCTCACCCCAAATGTCGTTTTTCCTTTACGTCTCCGACACGGAGCGCGCCCCTACATAGCAGAAGCTATACAACCTTGCCGGCTCTTGGTGTGGTGGCGTGGCGCTGCTAGGCGCGGCACAGCGAGCCCCACTCCACCATGTGCGAATCCCAGAAGCGCAATGCGCGAAAATTTTATTCACGCCCGGACCAGACCAGGCTGCTAATGGAGACTTAGGCCCTCGGTCGGCAGGCCCCACCAGTCGTCTGAGCGTCATGGATGCTGCACCGCACGGCGCAAACCTTCCCTCGGCCTACCCTCCGAGCCCCCTCAACACACACACAAGAGTGGGTCAATAAAATAAAGGTAAATAATATCGGACTACCAGCTAATTGAGCGGAAATCATCTCTCCGGAATGGCCGTGGAGATGAACACTTGTTGATCGCCCGGCTCAAAGTGGGTTCACCAACGCCAACGCGCCTCTCCCCCTTGTCTTTACCCTTGCTCCGCAAAAATTGAATTCGAATATTTAAAGTAAAAAGGGTTTGGTGAGTACATTTGAATAAACCGCGATGTACAAGAGTACAGTGTCCTAGCTGCTCGTCGGGAGACGACGGCAAACGCTGCCACTTCCTTGTCTGCGATCGTGCCAAGCCGTCAATTAAAGCCAACTCCGACAATAACTTGACAATAAACACGCAGCCAGGCGGCGCAGCCCCCCCTCCCCCCCTCTCTCTCCTTCCCTCTTACGCCCACCCCGAGATCAAGTCATCGGGGTAATGCGCTAAATATTTGTATCCTCTTGAATATTCATGGCGTCGGCATCTCTGGGCCCGGAGGAGGAAGGGAAGGGGCGAGAGCTTGGAATCTGCTGAGCCCAGTCACCGCTCGGATTAGAGGAAGAGGCTGGTGGGCGCTCGGTCACCTCACTCACCTGCAGCATGAGGGAGATGGCCACGATGCCCTGCGACTTGTGCTGCGCCTCCGACATGTTGTGGTACAGCTCGGCGTTGAAGCCGTACAGCTGGATCTGCAACAGACGTGCGTGTGATGACACCCCATTACCTGCGCCCGGCCTCGCCCCGCCCCGCACGGCTGTCACGCGCCGGCGGGCGGAACTCTTCCGACGACTGCCTAATGGAGTTAGACTCCCTTCCCCAAACAAGACGGGAGCCCCGTCTGCTCCGACCTCGTCTCCAACCTCGTCTCTGGGCTCGTCTCTGACTCACCTCGGCGGGGAAGGAGTATCCGTTGACGCGGTGCTCCGAGCCGTGGCCGTCGTGCGTGCCGTAGTGGATGTAGCCCTCCACCAGCTGGTAGCGGTAGTCCAGCGGTCCGCCCGAGATGTTGACGTGGTGCTTCGAGTCCTGGTCGACGCGCAGTACCAGTGACTGGCCGGTGTTGAAAAGGGACCCGCTTATCTGTGACGGGTGCGATCGCGATAGAAGATCGTTTTTAGCTTTTCATTTTGAGAGAGTGGCTTGCTTTAAGCTCTTTTCGCGGTATGTTAAAGTCATCGCACAGCGAAAATCATTATCACTATGTGTGCAGTGATGACTTTAAAAAAAAATGGTCACTCCAAAACAAATGCACGAATCGTAATGATCAATTTATTGCCATACCTTGTGCTTATCGACATGTAGCGGCCGCAGCCGAGGGTCGTACAGCAGCTTGTCGGGCTGGATGTCCACGGGGGACTGGCGCCGTCCCTTGCTGCACAGACCCCACTGTGGGTTGATGAGCCCCCAAAAGCCCGGACCTGCGAGTAAAGAGTCCTAAATTATAATGTGTTTATAATGGCTTTATAAACAAGAAGCTGTTCTCGTCGATTACTCTACTTGATTTTTCAATATCCAAGGAGTTTTTGTTTTTCACCAAAGTCCATGTGCTGCCGCCCCCTTGGGGCACACACCCTTCTGTGGCAGGAGGGACCGGAGGAAATCAGGCCTCAAGGAGGGTTTGTTTGCCTCCCGACCCTTCCAATCAGACATGGTTTCAATAAAAACGAAACATTCTCAGCCCCCCCCCCCCCAACCTCTTCGCGTGCTCGGTCATTCATTCATGACGTCGCACACGTCGGGGTCGGGTTATGACAGAAATGACGTATATTCCGGAGAACATATGAAACTGACGACAAACAAATCTTCTCGAGTCTCTCTGAGCGAGCGGAGACGTCCTGCCTCGAGTGGCCCCGGGCATTGCGATGCCCTCTCTACAAAGGACATCGCCTCTCCCACCTGCCCCTCATTCCTTATTCTCTTCTCCGCTGTTTGTGGACATCAAGGGCATCAGCGACATCAAGGTGAATAAGTGAAAGGCAGCAGCAGCAGCGCGGGAGGAGCCACCCCGCGGAACCCCCTCACATGTGAGGAATGGGGGGGGGGGGCGGACAATGTTGAAGGAAACTCACCTGAAATGCCGTCGTAGGTCCACCACTCCTCCCAGCTTGTCAGGCTCTCTGCAACAAGGAAAAGACGGATGTGCGATCATCTGCCCATCATAAGCAAAAGCAATCCACAGAACGAAAAAGGGTCACATTTCCTGCGAGCAGAGGTTGTCTGTCGCGGCGGACGTGAGGGAGAAGGAGGGGTTACACTTGGCATTCCGCGGGTGGTCTTCTTTTTCTTCCTTTTTCTGTGGGGGGGGGCGTTACTGTGTAACTTCCTCAAAGGAGACGGGAGAGTACTGGAGGGGGTCGTGGTGGGGGGCACGCCCGCACTCTGCAGTCACGGGGGTCAGGGCCGCGAGGCCGTAGGCTTGGGGCCGCAGGGCCTCCGGCAGTGTCCCCGGCAGGGCCCCGGAGTGAAGCCGCCGAGGTGCGTGGGGAATATCTCACGACTTTGCCTTCTAATTGACGCCCAACTTTTCGGCGAGGCGCGCCTGTGGACGAAACGGGACGGTCCGAGACGACTCGCCGCGACGCCCGCCTGCCCGCGGCGGGGGCATCTCGTGCAGGGACGCCGCTCCGGGGCCGGAGGTGGGGCGGGCGCACCGCGGCCGGGCTTTCATCAAGGCCAATTGGAGTGCAAATGCCCTGGCCTCACCGCCGCGCCCCGGCCCGGCCCGCCTCAGTGGGTCAGAAGCGCCGTCGACCCGCACCGAGAGCGAAAGCCAAGCGGAGCCGGAGCGTCTCCAGTCCGTTCCGGTCGTACACCGTTCGTCAAAATAATATTGGTCGTACGACACCCTATAATTATACTGTAACATAGAAAAATCTCAGTCTCAGTGGAAAATTGATGGATCTTTCGAACTTTCATAAAGATACTAAAAGTTCGACTAAAATAAGGCAACAATAAAAATTATCTCGTTCCTTTAAATTTCATTTTGTCTTGAAATAAGATTCCCATTTTTTTAGTTTCAACTGCTCATTGTTTGCAGGGTATAACACTTGCTTACTTTTTTATTTTATTTTTTGTGCCCTTGCTCGGCGAGCTCCTCGTCAGACCTCAGCGGCCCGGCCGCGTGTCGGGGCGGCATCAATCGGGACGAAGCACATAATAAGGCGCAGCCGTCGTTACAACTTTTAATTGCTGCTTTGACGTATCGCGGGTGAAAGGGAAGGGGGGGGGGGTAAGGTCACGGCCCGGCCTGGCCCCACTGCGGCTCAAAGAGCTTTGCGGCTGCGTTTTTTAAATCCGCGTGGGCCGAGGGCCGGGCCGGATGAAGTGGATATGGCCTGCAGTGCTGCTGTTACTGGGTGTTAACGCAAATGACCCCTGTTGACACTGTGGTTGCAGCCCCGCCCTCGCCCCCGCCCTCGCCCCCGCCCCCGCCTCGCCCCGGAGCCTAATGGTGTTATGGATGGCCCGGGGGGCTTGGGGCTGCCTCGCTGGATTAGAGAGCCGGCAGATAAACACCTCACACGGAGCCCCATCTGCAGGCAGCCAGACAAGCCAACTGGCTCGGTTACAACGCCTAGCGAATGGTTCAGCTTTACATATTCGGTAATCCAAAACTGGAGTTAGGTGTTTACCTCATTCCATTTGTAATAAATTTGTAATTTTACTTGCTTTTGGATGTTGGTTTTCTGTTGTCGTGTTTTTTTTTTTGTTTTAATTATTTTTTATTTTTCTTTTGCAGGTGCAGACCAGAGCTCAGGGCGGCAGTAGCGCAGTGGGTTGCTGGAAAATAGAAGTATGAGACGGGGTGGGGGTGGGGGTCGTTAGGATCAGGGCTGGCGGCGCGTGGGAGATAATTAATCCGGTGAAGACGGTGATGAACCTCGAGTTATTATTCTGGTTACGCCGAGCACACCCCGCCACGCCCGCACATGCAGGCCCCGCCACGCCCCGCCACGCCCCGCCACGCCCCGCCACGCCCCGCCGCCCTGCAAGCCGCCCTGCCGCCCTTGCTCCAATTTCCATTTTCAGCAGGGCGCGTCGTCAAGTGGCTCATGCTAAGCCGGCGCACCACGACTGATAAAATAATTTCTGTGCTACCTTCACCTACGCGAGGCCACGCCCGTTCCAGCGAAAGCGGTGAGAGGTAGCTCTTTCGAAAGGCGTCGTCAACTCGGGGTATCTTTCCAACGGGGTGACGGAGAGGACCCTCTTCATCTTACCCGCATATACGTCCTCCCGTGCTCGCCATAAGGAGAAATCCTGTCCTGGGACTTCACTGGTAGGTCATGCATCTGAGAGGGGAAAAAACTATTTCTCCCCCGCTTTGACTAGGGTTGCGACGGTCAGTAATGTTACCGGTAACGTTACCGGAAAAATTGGTAATTTACGGTAATTTACCAAAAGCTTGGTAACGTTGAAAAAAAACGGTAATAATTATACCCTACAAAATGAGTTAAAAACTCACTTTTCAGAAGCAAAAGTCACATTTGGAATTGTAAATATGACATATTATCACCTTTTTAGTCACTTTCTAGAGACCAGATAGCAAATTTGTCATTATTCTGAAGTTTAAAAGGCATAGCTTTAGATAACGATTTTTATAGGTGTACTTCTGGTAACTCTATATACAACTGATGTTGATGAGAACAAGATGAAAAACACAAATATTCCAATAAGTATAGCTAAGATCTGCTATTCCGTCACTTTTTAGGCAGTACACACGAATTTCGATTGCCAAGAAATAGTATATTGCCAATTTTTCTGCTTCAAATTGAATTTTTCCAATTTTTCCAAAATTTCCGGTAAATTTCGATTTTTACCGTAATTTACGGTAACATTGATTGTTACCGGTAATTTCGCAACCCTAGCTTTGACGGATACCGCCTTGCCATCCAAGCCCAACCCCCAACCCGGCCAATCTTATTTAAAGGTCCACAAAACGCCTAGGCGAGGCGGTGCGGTCTGAGTCGGGACGACACTGGGGGCGGCCCGGAGGCGTCTTGATGAAGACGGGGCCGTTTGTGCGAGGACGACTTTTGTTGTTTTCGCAAGAAATTAGCAAGTCGCAAACAATCTGCGGGTCCGCGGGGCTTTGGGTGGCGCCGCGGCCGGGTGGAGGGGTGGGGGTGGGGGGAGTAATGTGAAAGGGGATGGGGCGAGGAGGTGTGCGGGGCTCAGAGACAAACGGCGAAAACAATGCGCTTAGCGACTCCCTTGTGTAGTGGAGTAGTTTCTCCGCAGACTTTGAATATCTACTTACAGATCCCCCTTCCCTCCCCAGAGCAGGGACTCCGACGACTGCTTTGGTCTGCCCGCATGGCGAGGGTCGGGCGGGGGCAGGTGGTTTGGTAGTTATTTACTCGCGGGGTCACTCGGGTGCGTACGTGAGCGGACTGCGGGCGCGCCGGCCCACCCCGACGGCACCCACCGAGGTCTCCTGACGGACGGACGGAGGACGGACGGACGTCCGCACGGACAGGGCGGCACGGCCTCCACGCTAATGTCGTTTGGAGGGCCCGACACTTTTATGCAATTATAGAATGGCGAACTGTCGGCATGTGTGTGTGTGTAGACGTGTGTTGCAAAAATAATGACGCGTGCTGAGGGAGAACGATGAAGAGACACCAGGTGCATGGGCAACATGAGGAATCGGTCGACACGTCTGTTTCAAAATCGAATTGCTCTGGTTTTGCAAGCACACTGGACGTCATTTTGACATTTTGGATGAAAGTTCGATGTCGAATCCACGGTTACATCGGATGCTATGGTCGGATGAGGGGGGGGGGGGCGTATGTTACTCACCTGGAATGAGGCCCAGCAGCGTGAGGAGGGTGGCCAGGAGCTCCGGGTATCCCAACGGCAGTCTCATAGTTCTGTAAGCAGCAGCGCACGGTAACTGTTAGAAGACGGCAGCACCTCTCTTGTTATCACTCCTGTCTCTTTTTTCTCTCCACCTCTCTCTCTCTCTCCGAAAAAAAAGTCTGCATGGACGCTTCTGGGCGATGATCGTCTCGAGACATTTTTGCCGTGCCGGAAGAAGGGGAGCGAGGAGGGCGCTGCCCTGGCGCCAACCATAAAAACGAGCCGTGATTTTACGGCGCAGTGATATTTCGGAACAAGTGTATGGCCATACAGCGAATGTAGCGATTGTCGGACCGGCCGCCCTCGCCCAGCCCCTCGGGGACGGGCAACGGGCCGTATATGCTTTGACGATTCAATACAATTCAATAAATTCAGAGAGCGATAACGGGGCTGAGACTCCTCGTGATATTTTCTAAAGTGCACCAGAGGGAGAGGAGAGAACGAAGTAAAAAAGTTAAGGATAATTTTTTTAGGCTAAAAAAAATGGGAAAAATGCCTTTTCAACTTCGACACAACTGGGCTCCTTTCATTAAGAGTCGCACTGCATCTGCCCTCTTAGAGGCATTCGCCATTCGCTGATCAAAATAACTCCCGCTTGTGACAGATACTGATAAGGCAAAAGTTTGTGAGGGTCCATACCTCGAGGCAACCCCTGTCAAAGCAATTTAAAAAAAAATAAACAGATACCGTTTTGCACGTTTGAGCCCCCTATTTTGTTATTATTTTATGTATTAACATGTAAGATCGATGATATAAAAAAAATGCGCATCTTTATAGACTTTATTTCAGAAGACATTACTTACAAAAACGTATGAACACATCCATTATGTTACTAATTGTTTCATTTTTTTTTTTTTACTTTTATGAATCTTGCACTTATACTCCATGAGTGACCACGCGTAACGTACGGATATTTAGACTATTTTATGCATAGTTAGGGCCCTTACAATTCTGGAAACTGAATTTTTGAAGCTGTCTTCATATGCTTGGTTCAAATCTACTGCCCTTTCAACTTGGTGGACTGATGCAGAATGGTGGACTGGTTTTGAAAATATTGGTATCAATTGATAAAAATATGCCAATCTAAAACAGATCTACTTCAGGCATAATTCACTGTTGAACCTAAGGCGTTCCTATGGACATACTACTAGACATGTATGTGAGCTGGTATTTTCGTCCTGAAAAACGCAGTTGGTATCTTGGAAACGGGTGAAATTTTAACAAATTTTGACATGCGACATAAAAATGACTCACCTAGACGCAAAATGGATCACATAGAAATCGTCATTCCTTCCAAATCAATTTTTCAATTATAATTTTTTTTTTCACTTTTTGTTCACAGTAGACTTCACAAAACATGTACCGCTATTGAAAGTGTGTCGGATTTAAACTAAAGCACTTGGGATACCAAAACTATTTTTTATTTTTTTTGGTTTGAAACTTATTTAAGGTGAAATTCAAAATTGGTGAAGGATTAACTGGTTGGTGACGTTGCCCTTCAACACTGTCCTCACCCAGGGGTTCGCCGCCGCTTGCGGCTGTCGCTACTGCATGCTGTGCGGGCGCCGGTCCCCCGCTGGGCCGTGGCTGGGCCGTGGCCGGGCTACGAGCGCGCTCTCGTGCGGACGCTCGGCGGGGCGCGGTGCGAGGCGGCGGCGCGGTGCTCTGGGGATGGTCGCGGGGCGCCGGTTCCGCGCAGACTGGTGCCGTCCGGCTTGGGCGCCGGCGAAGCGCCGCTGTGGCGCCGCCCCCGGCCCCCCACCAGGGGCGCCGCACCCGCGCCAAGCTGCAAGAGTGGCCCCCCCAGCGCGGGCGGAGGAGGGGCCAAGCACCGCGGCGCCCTATCGCCGAGAGGAGGTGCCCCCCTGGCCCCCGCCGCGCCCCCCGGTGCCCCCCGAGGGCCCTGCGCTTGGTACCCTGCGGCCGGTTTCTCCCATCTCGACTCCCAGAATCCCGACACACGCGGTACCCGCGGTCCAAAACCGATCGAGAGGATAGTGGTCGATGCTGACTCAATGGCCCAGGGCATCGCGTACTCTGCTGCCGCTACGATAGCTCTGGCCGGTGCAATGACTTTGCGGTGGTCACTCGGCCGGTCGCGGTGCGTTTGGCGTGACCCGATGACCACCCATCGATCATGCAGTCCAGGGCGTGGCGGCCCGCCGAGGATCAGGGGCTGCCAGGAAATGAAAGGCGTTGTCCTTCGCCAGCGCGCTGGTGGAAGGAAGGTGGCGTTCCGAATGAAATTCTGACGCAGCCGTGGGGCACCCCGCCCCAACCGCCCCGCCCGCCCAGCCCTCGGGCGGGGGCACCAGGCACCACGCCAGATGGAGTGCTTCCGCCACGCCCCACCCTCGGACGGCTAGCTGGTCTGCTGACCGCGAACGAACGAACGAATGAAAGAACGAACGGAATGGTTCATGGTTCTAGAAGGCAAGCGTGGTGGATTATATACGTTTTCAACCTCCCCATCCCCATACAAAGGCTTTCTTACGCTTAAAGAATAATCACTGATAACTCTGTGCTGGCCTCTTCGCATATTCTGACATTTCGCTTAAATTACACTGTTTGCCATTCCTCTTTGAATGATAAAGTTTTTGCATATGCAAAGCGGTCTTTAATTTGTATTTATGAAAGTAACTCAATATTAGGCAATCGAAACGAAACATAAAAACACGTGCAAAAAGCAAGTGTTATAAGGTTGAAAATGATTCTTACATTTTATTGAAATGTTCAAAACAAACAAATAGTGTCCACATATAAGCAAGCTAGTGGGGAAAATGGCAATTTCGCTCCAACGTTAAAACAAAGTTGTTTCTTTTTGTTTGTTTGTTTAAAAAGAGTTTGCTGGCGGTGAAAACAATTAGGCGGGATAAAACCTCCATACTCGGAAGGGTGACATCTGGGAAACGTCACCCGCGCCCCCCGCCCAGCTGAGTGGGGGGAGGTAAAAGTTAAGGAACACTCTGCGCCAGTTTAAGGGCAATTTGGGTGGTTTTCCTCCATGTGTTCTGTCGCCGACACTTCTTCTTTGTTTGCAGTCGGCGCCCCGTCGGCCCGGTCCCCACCAGCGACCCCACCTGCCCTCCCGTACCTTCCTCTGCTCCCCGCGCACGGCCGCGGCGGCCTCTTCCGGCGCCCTTATCTACTGTCACCCCCCGCTCGCTCGCTCTTTCTCTCTCTCTCTCCCTCTTTCTCTCGCTCGCTCACCTCACCTGCCGCACACGGGCCGTGGGTTTTCTCTGAAGCACCGTGCCGGCTGGAGTGCATGACTTGTGGTCCGCCCCGGCTCCAGGGCCACTCGGACACAGCCGCCCCTAAAGGATCCCCGCCGCGGGATCCTCGGCCGATCAACATATTCATGGGGCACTCCCCACCACCCGCGCTGCCGATTCTCATTGCAGGATTTGTTGTAAAGCCGACTAGTCGGCCCGGGACAATAAAAACAGACCGAAACACACTCCTCCTGCAGGCGGAGCGGACAAGAAGCGTTTGTTGTTTGGCGAGGAGGGAGCTGGGTTCATTCTGCTAGGTCCGTCCCCCGGTGCTTCCCCGGTCCTACCTCTACATCGCGGGGAGGGCAACGAAGGATCACGTGCGTTACGGGAGGCGGGCGTAGGGGCAAGGGACACAGCGGCACCCACACCACCCTTGCCTGCGCTGCACCTGGCCCTGGCCCTCTCAAACAACCTAACTAAACTGACGCAGAACGTCGCCTGCAGATCCTTCGTGACCGAGGCCTGAGAAAACTCTGTTTATACAATTTGTAATAAGAATGGTTCTTCATTGTCAGTTGGATGGTAAGCATACTGTTTAATGCTGTTGTTGTTTTGTCATTACTGCCTACTCTGGAAACCCAAGTGTGTACTTGAATGCAGAATATTCTGCATACCTACATGTATGCAGAAAATTCTGTGTACTTGGCAAGTACACAGAATAATGTGTGTACTTACTTGCGAAGTACACAGAATATTCTGCATTCAAGTACACACTTTGGTTTCCAGAGTATACACTGGATAAACTAATGTGACTTGTGTCAATAACGGTTTGAGGAATTTTTACCCCTTTTAAAAGGAATTTTCTCAAAAGCGAGGTGTTTTCCGAAAATTTTCGGACTTCCTCAAAGTTTTCGCTATGTCTTCAAAAGAAAATCAGACCTTGCTTTTTACTGTTCCCTGTCTTATACCTTATACCCGACCATTTTACGTATACTGTGAGTTTCTGAACAAAGAAGAAATAGACAAAACTCGAGAGGTCGCAGCCGCAAATATTTTGGCAGTGAGTCTGCAGAGCGACTGTGCACTCCAGCCGTCGTAGGGAATCCATATCGACGCGGGGAGGCCTGGCGGCGGGCCTGGCGGACTGTGACACTGCGCCCGCCCCGCTCCTTCATCATCCATCCCCATTAGGCTGCCGCGCGTCTGGCCACCCCGCCC